ATCGAGACGCGTAAGGCCAGCAACTTGTCTACGAAAGCTTTAAGGACAGACCTGAATGATCTGGCGCAATTGTCTTTAATGACTCTCAGGCGCTAGCATGGGATCAGGAATGTTGGAAACAGTGTCTGGCTCGTCTCTCTCCGTGACCAAAAAGGATAATCGGTAATGGAAACTGCTTGACTAAAAACCTGTCTGATGGAACATTTTTCCCACATAAAGGCATATTCGTGATCATTAGCCAGTGAGGAACAGAATTGAGACGAACTGAAGAAAAGAAAAAATTTAAATATTTGACTTATGCCTCTATCGTCCAAAGTGAAGTCGATAGGCGGGAAATAATAAGCGATATGGAGGACGAATGAAATACAAAATAAATAGAGATCAACATCACTTAAGCCGCAAGGATCAGACAATACCGGGAATTGTGGTGTTGTATATCAGTTGTTATCCTCAGAAGAATGATTGACATTTGTTGAATTTTTTGTAATGATGTTCTGGCCATCAGACAATGCAAACGGCATGGAACATGGTTTATTTACATACAACGCAAACAGTATTATCAAATAAATAATAAATCAGTACCGAGGTTTTGGCCAGTTTCAAGGGCCTTATTCAAGGTAAAGAGGCTAGCTGACGGACTTTGGAAGTACTTATTTGCGCTGTGCATTAATAATCGTGCATGATGCTGTTTGCAATATGACCACCAACGCACGAACGAAAATTACTGAAGGCCATTAGGCAATGTGATATCTGATCGAAAAGACGTGATTTTGATTTTGTCACAGTAATAAAAGCTTCAAAATTAAATACTGACAATCAGTTAGCAGATTTGCCGTATAAAGATTATTTAGAAACTCCTGCGAACACTCTGATCAAGTATCAGAACTGGTTATCCAGTACTATCGGCTTATCGGCATTTAATCGGTCATCTGATACGAACCGATATCAATTAATTAATTATGCAAACGACTTCGATTGACATCCCCCGAATCAGTCGCCCGCCCCACTTAATCGATCTTCGGTGACAACGGTCGTAAATCGACCCTAGGAAAATAGGAGCATTAAGAGGTCGCCGTACGACGCGATAGCATTGTCTGATGGCAAGCAGATCGTTGACGGTCAGATCTAAGACTAACTGCATACGTCTACTGTTTACTGAGTTACACTGAATCTATTCTGAACGACAGAGGTCGTGTCGTATGCCGCACACAACTGTCCCTCCTGCGACAATTCGGCAGAGTGCATCTTCTTTCTGTCGACTCAGTGATCAACACCTATTCAACAACACCGCAGGGACTGTGCATGGCTTAACAGGTATCACGAATGGTCGACGAAAGCTAAAGGGTAGAATTCGCAATTTGCATAAATTTTAGAGGTATAAATGATACCTTTGGTCGTTGTCAAAAACGTAAAAGAAAATTCATCGATACCTTTGTTATTTGGGCTTGGTGTGAACTCCATTTTTCAACTGTGATCAGTAAGATGTGAACGAAAGGTTGAAGACGAAGAATTAACGACTTACGAGCAGCTTTCGCGGATTCTCACTGTAAGACGGCCAAACAAGAGCGGTGCGTGCGATGGCAGCTTTCACGCCGGCCACATTGTTCCTGGCGAACTGCTCACATGTGACCAATTTGCGCTGGCCAATCACTGTTTCGAGTGCGCAACCGGTGGCAGGGTCACACACAAAGTGTTCCATTCGAATGCCGCAAAACAACACTCATACACCAGCGTGGCCAGTCTCCATCGAAGTTGCTTCACTACTCTAGGCATTTCATTAAATTGCATGAGACTGAACAGTTTTGCTAGGCATCAAACCCATGACAGCTAACGCACTTCTTACAATTCGATACCGTTGCTGACGGATTTCCAATGCACTCCGTTTTTAGAGAACGCAAATTGCACTGTTGTTGTCAGAACTGTTGTTGGCAGCTCCGTCCATCTTAAATTAATGAAAAAAACGTAAAACATGGCCTACTAGTACACAACGTAAAAAATAATATGGTCTTTTTTTGAGCCTCATGGACGATGGGAAATTGGTAGTTTCTAAATTTTTTCTGCTGTTCGCAGCGCTGGTAGGTTTGGACCCAAAAGGCTAGCTTACTGTTGGATAGGAAGTTTCTGGGAAACAGGGGCAACAAGGCTTATTCAATCCACGCAGAGTTCGCAATCCCTTGTCACAGGACTGGATGATTAATGCATCCTGGACATGCCTGTGTAGTCAGTGTTTTCCTTTGATGATTCCGGTACACTTTGACCATTCGGGGTGTGTTATTCCTATTCGGCGTGTTGTGCAATCCCAAATATCTTTTCGCAGTTTTCTCTAACTTTGCTAAAAGGATCGATGCCTCGTTATCACGTGTTTTCTCGCGATCATCTACGTTCTCCTGTTTGAAAGGTGGGTCTTCGTTCTCTGAATGACGGCGTTCGCTGTTTCTCCTATACAATATTTCCCGAAGTTACATGGTAATTTTCAAATCCAGACGATATGTGATAACCGAAACCTTGGAGGAAAACAAAGCCTCGCCCCCGACCAAAGTCAAGGAACAATGCGACCCTCCTCCTCGGCGATGGTCACGGAACCTGCATCATCAAGGAACAAGATCTGGCTGTACAGGCATGTCAAGAAGGTATGAGTGACCCAGTCCTGCGATAATGTCAATCCTGACGAATGCTACGAACTCTGCATGGATTGGATGAGCCTTGTCGCCCAAACACTATTTAACCAGCGGCAAGCATCAAAAGCTTTCCTTTTGACTCCAAATCTATCAGTCGTTGCGAAAAACAAGAAAAGCATTCGAAACTTTCCCAATCTCATGTCTTTAAGAAGGGTCGTGTGATTCGGGCCAGAACGCCAGTAGTGGTTAATCATATACGATTGACCATATATTTTTTGTGTTGTTTAGTAAGAGACTGTTTTCAGTATGATAATCACGCTGTTTTACAGTATGACCACCAGAGCACGAATGAAATTCTTTATCCCAGACTAAAGATCGTTCTAGGAATTAGGATACAATGTAACTTGATTCCTGGTTCAGGGTAACAAACACAGTAGATGTGAAACTTTTATTGCCAAAGCGTTTCGCTACAAGCACAGTAGCATCATCAAAGCATTGCATAAATGGCTGCTTGAGAGCACTTATATTCAACATTCTAATTGCTTCCCGATTGGCACATACTCAACAAGCAAAGCGTTGTTAAAGACTGTTGATCTGCATAACCAAAATGTTAACCAACAAACAATATAGAGATCATATTAAAAATGAAATCGGATTTTTGTTATGCTGACTTGATTTTGTGTGCGAAATTCTTGATTTTGACTCAGCTTTCACCAATAACCACGATTTATGTGTATTCGTTGCATCGGGTATTTCATTGCTTGTATATGCAAGAACTCCTTTATCAGAGAACCTAATTTAGAATAGTCATTTTCTATGACAGACACGTTGATTTGACTGATAGAACGTCTTTCGGTTATCGCATGCTGGGCAATATCGAAACTGTCGGCCTGCCCAAGGCGGACTGCAGAAAGGTGCTTTCTTATCCGGATGTTCAATTTCCGGTTGGTTTCCTGCAATGAACACCTAGTCGCAGTCTCAGAACCTGACTTTATGCATCTTCCATCGCCGCTTCTCCCTTCGGGTCGCGGAGGCAGACGCCTCAGACAGTGCTTCCAACGTTCCCGATCCTGTGCCAGAGTCTGATCTTCCCCAGAAGACAACTGGAGTCTGGAACAAACATCTTCCATATATTTTCACAAGGTTAATCGTGGCCGTCCCCTGGGCCTTCTGCCGGCCGGATTTGCAAGGAACAGATGCTTAGCCTTCTTTTCTGGAGGCTA